GCAGTAGTGGATCTCATACCCATCCTGCGGGCGGTAGTGGACCCCATACTCATTTTGTGGGTGGTAGTGGACCCCATACTCATTTTGTGGGCGGTACTGGCGTGCAGTGGAGGCTATACCCCTCCTTTGGGAGGAAGTGGACACCATACTTATCATGTGGGCTGCAGTGGGCACCATACCCATCCTGTGACGGTAATGGATCCTCTACCCACCCTGAGGGCGGTATAGTGAACCCCATACGCGTCATATGAGTGGTAGTTAACCCCATACCCATCCTGTGGGCGGTAGAAGACAATATACTCATCCTGTCGGCGGTAGGTAAGCATATACCCATTCCATGGACGGTACTGTACCCTATTCTCATGCTGTGGGCGGCAATGAAGGCCATACCCATGTTGTGGGCGGTAGTAGACACAATTTTCATCATGTGGGTGATTGTGGACCCCATACCCATCCAGTGGGCAGTACAGTGGACGTCACGCAACATACTTTGGGCGAAGTGGATCATATACCCATCCAGTGGGCAGTAGTCTACCCCATACCCCTCCTGTAGATGATAGTGGTCCCCAAACCCATGCAGTGGGCAGTAGTGGACCCCATACCCATCCTGCAGGCGGTAGTGGACACCATACTCATGCTGTGGGCAGTTGTTGGGCCCAGACCCATCCTACAAGTGGTATGGGCCCGTTACTCACCTAACAGGTGGTAGTGGACCCTATACCCATCCTACAGTAGGTAGTAGACACTATACTGTCCTGTTTGCAGTAGTTTACCCCACAGACATTCCCGCGTAACTTCGTTTTCTGTTGATGTTCCTACAATCCATTCTTTAAAGATTTTTAAAGCATAAACTATTGTATATAATCTTGATTGGTGAAGCACTTTTATTTGATGTAATAAATTATAATGGTTATTATAATTTACTAATCAAATCAAATCAAATGTTTATTTAGGTAAGGTACATACATACAAGAGATTTTACAAAGAGTGATGGATTTATAGATAGACCTAGTACATACAATGCCTAAAGCCACTATTACGCAAAGCGTTTCGGGCAGAAAAAACTTAAATGACTAAAGCTTAATACTAATTGAGCATAAAGACTAAAATGAAAACATGGAATGAAAACATAGCTGAAAAAGCAGCACAAATACAATTCTGTCGACAAACTGCGCTCTTTAAAAAAAACAGACATTGGTTGACAATAGAGGGGTAAGGTAGGTTACAGGGAATTTATTAGGTAGTGCTTCGTTTTTATCTTAAACTGGTTGAGAGAGGTACAGTCTTTAACATGGTTGGGAAGGTCATTCCACAATCTGGGTCCCTTGATTTGTAGAGCATTTCTGGTTTGATTAAGTCGTACTCTAGGAATATCAAAACTGTATTTATTTCTGGTGTGGTGCTCATGGGTTCTGTTACAACCTTCTATGAAGCTTTTGAGGTCAGGATTGGCATTACAGTTTAGCGTTTTATATATGTATAATACACATGAGAGAATGTGCAGTGACTTAATGTCTAACATATTCAGAGATTTGAGTAGGGGTACCGAGTGATGTCTGGGGCCAGAGTTGGATATTGTCCTAATAGCAGCTTTGTGTTGAGTAATTAGAGGACGTAAATGATTTTGTGTAGTAGAGCCCCAAGCACAAATCCCAAAGTTGAGATATGGATAGATGAGGGAGTAATAGAGAGTCACCAGGGCAGGGCGGGGTACATAATATCTGATCTTAGAAAGAATGCCAACAGTTTATGAAACTTTTTTTGATATATTTAGAATGTGTCCCTGGAAATTCAGCTTGTGGTCAATGAGAATGCCAAGGAATTTGCCAATTTGCCTAAGAAACGCTAATATTTCTCAAAACAAAACTACGAGCCTTCAATAGGATGTAGCTGATCTGTAATATTCTACAAGAATGGACAATAGTAGGTCAATTTCACAAGCCGTGTGTGACCTGAAAATTACAATTTTCAATATAATTGAACCAATCACGACTATTCTGCTATCTACGGCGATGGACGGGTCCTGTGAGACGTAAATTGGTACACGAGGAAGAGTTTGGGCCTTGAAAAAAATATAACTGGGAATATACCACATATGTACTAATTCATAAGCAAAATATTGACATTAGGCAATAAGTCATATATGTGCTGTCTTGTGCGAGAGCGGGTTGTGTCTTGGGCCACCGATCATGACTTCAGGTTCTCTATGCCTAAGAATTATGCTATGATTTTTTCTCGGAAGCATATCGTTCCTCGTCCTCCTTTGTCACTTTATGATCACCCCCTTGTGTACAAGGATTCCGCTAGGCTTCTGGGGTTAATCTTTGACACTCGTTTTTCTTGGTCGCCCCATATCTCTTACCTCCGAGTTGAACGCTCTAAGGCCCCTACCCTTCTTCAGGTTTTGTCCCAAACTTCTTCGGGAGCGAATAGGCACACGCTCCTTGCTTTACGTTCCTCTCTCGTTCTGTCTAAACTCGATTATGGTTGCCCTGCTTACACATCTGCTTCTCCTGTTACTCTTCGCCGTCTTGATGCTTTGCACCCTACTGGGTTGCGCCTCAGCTCTGGTGCCTTTTGTTCGACTCCCGGCCTCAGCTTGTATGTTGACACTGGCTTTCTATCTCTCCAGGACTTCCATGATTGCTCCTGTCCTCGCTATCTTGCGCGGTCCTTGCAACATCCTTCCTCTCGCCTCTGCCGTGCTTTAACTCTTACCCTTCCTTTAGTTCTTGTTCCTTTTCACATCCTCCCTCTTTCTGTTCTGTTATCTCGCTTACAGAATTCTTTTTCAGTTCGTCTTTCTAATATTTCTCCTCGTATTGTTCCTTCCTTGCCCCCGTGAAGAGTCCCCCCTTCCGAAGTTTTGTTCATCCTTGACCCTCATCACTAAAGCTTTTACCCTTCCGACGGTTTGATGGGTCTAAGTCTGCGGACGGTGAAGGCTACTCTGTTGTTTTTCCTGACCGCACTTATATGTGTCGCCTACCTCCGGAGACTAGCATCTTTACAGCAGAACTTTATGCTATTCTTTTCTCCTGGTACGAGAAAGAAAAAGAACATACACGGAAATGTTCTTCCTTACTCTCAGAGCACAGTAACGGTATGAACTAAACCACACAGTTACATTGAACACAAGTTAGTATATATTACAATAACAATAATGTCAAAAATGTGCAAAAAGTGTAATATACACACACTCAGGTCAATCTACAGTAATCACACAGATATACTGCACTTGCCTCACCTACGTGCTTCCTGAATCTGTGTAACTTTCCCATTGTGGGGGGACCCTGAGAACGACATGGCATAAGGCCGACTTGAATCAGCACAAGGAATACGCACTTCTGATAATGAAACAGTAATTAATTAAGGAGTACTCACATTGATAAACTGGCTTACATTTATATACCTCTTTCATACTCAGTAAAACTCTGCCATTGATTGAAGATCAAGCACCAACACAGATAGCACGTGGTAGATTTTCTTTCACAAGAACATGTGTTGGGTGGAGTAGCGTAGTTCACAGGGCGCTGGGGAGTCCGGCGTAGAGTAGGCTCGGAGTCACAGAGCCGAGACGCTCTCACGGGATGGCACGAGGAGCGAGGCAGGCTACACAGCAGATGTGGGCAAGCGCTGTGGAAAGGAAAATAATCAAAGTCACAACAGTTCGTAAATTTAAGTTATTCACTCGGATTCTGACTTAGATCATAGTGAATTTTTTCTTAAATTCCTACCAACAGTTTACTGAGTGATATGTTGACGGATCGCTCAAGATTAACAAGATGATCACAGAATAGTAACTACAGTTTAATTGCTCTGCAGGTGAACACGTCTGGAGTCTCTTCTATGTATCACTAATCTCATTTAATATAAAAATGCGCGCCGTTGCGGTACCGGATTCTGACAAACGGATTCAAATAGACTTGATTGATATATACTGTTCTTAATGAACTCACTTTCAGACAGGAATTTCCGTAACTTTGGCCGAAGTTACGGTGTACGCGCCTTCACAGATCAAAAACAAGATCAAAAGTTCAGAACTAGGTGAGTATTCTCAGATTGACGCTCAAGGGCAGGAAGACAGCTGGCGGCCTCTCCGAAACTCTTCCTATTGTTCTTCAAGGTAACCAATCATCGAACTGCATCATGGTGGCCCACAGGGCCGCTTCCAATAATCTCTTGACCCTCAGTCACATGACTCCTGTGTCTTCACTGCCAACCGGCGTATTGTTTACAAGAGCGAGGGACACCGTTAAGGATCCTGGATCCTAAATCCAAGTCCCTCTTGCTCCTTGGATTTTGTCTTCAATGAACTTAAGCTTAAAACTATGCTAATGCTGTAATTCTTTTCCATAGCAAGGCTACGGTGGCCACCATAACTTTAATGAACAGCTGAGGGTGTCTGATTTCCATAGACACCACACAAGAATTGTCTGGCTCCCATATTAAGAAAACTAGAATGCGTGCACACTTGTGCAGCCTTCTGCACCCTCTGCAAGCAAAATGGCAGTCTGCCTTCTTCATCAACCATGTGTATGCTAGCTGGAATTCCATTCCCTCACAGACACTGTCATGATACATAGACACTGTTTATGATACAGAGGCACTGTTTATGATTCAGAGACACTGTTTATTGTACAGAGGCGTTGCTTATGATACAGAGACACTGTTTATGATAAAGAGACACTGTTTATGATAAAGAGACACTCTTTATGATACAGACACTGTTTATTATTCAGAAACACTGTTTATGGGGGACAGAGACACTGCTTATGATACAGAGACATTGTTAATGATACAGAGACATTGTTAATGATACAGAGACATTGTTAATGATACTTCCTTACATTAATCTCACAAATACACAAGTGTGGATTTTTTATCCTATGTTATTATGTCTGTGAGAAGACATTACCATTACTAATTCCTATTGTTAATATTATTATTGAGAAAGTTGTTTGCAGTATTACTACAACAACTGTTATTATGTTTAACAGACTTGTTCATCACCCGACATTAAGAGTGGCCGGAGAAGCGTACCCAGGTCAGACGGAGGAGCTGCTCGACGACCCGGAGGCGCCCGACGGCAAGAGGCTGGTCTTCAGGGGACCAGTTGCCAGCGTCCTCGACTACCTTGCTCAGGCCATGAACTTCTCGTACGCCTTGTTTGTTTTTTGTAATTGGAAGCCATTTAATAGAACAATAGAACTTTAACAGGAAATTACGCATGCATGTTCTTAACTTCAAAGTCATATTTCCACTGTCAAGCACAACAATTAGCATTAAATCTACAGCAGGTGCAGTTTCTATTATGTACTAAGCACATTTTGCAGAGGTCTTGAAAATAAACTACATTATTGAATACAGTTTATTCGATCAGCTTAATGTGGTATAGTTTAGAGCCAGAGGTAAAGTTACTGAAAGCATTTTACTCGAAATGCCTTAAAAAGTTATTTACAAATAATTTGTCCCTAACCCTCAACTTACTTATTTAATTGTTATATTTATAAAAATACTTATTTAATTCTTTTCAATGATATTAATCGCAGATTCACATCAGATTAGGTTTAACTAGTTCTAAGGCAATTTAATCCTAATTAAGGTTTAAAGAGATCCTCTTAGTTTCTATAAGATTCCATATCGTATTTTCTTAATAATATACGATACTTTTCTATGTATTGGCAAGTGTGTTAGGACTTTCATAATACAAGTACATACTCTGAACACAGGTGCATATCATGAGCACATGTGCATATTCTGAACAGAAGTGCACGTCTCGAACATTGATGCATATCTAGAACACAGAAATATCATGAACTCATTTGAATATCTTGAACGTCGGTACATAAAAGTGAACACTGGTGCATATCTTGAACACAGATGTATTTCTCGAACATAGGTGCATTTCATAAAAACATACGTATCTTGAACACGGGTGCATATCCTCAGCACACGACATATTTAACATGTGTAGATTTTAATCACTAGTGAATATCCTGAACGCATGCACACATCTTTTACATGATTTTATATCATAAACGCTGGCGCATATCTTGAACTCTAAATCAATATTGAAAAAAGATGCATATATTGAACACCAGTGCATATCTTAAACACTAGTCATGTCTTGAACACCGAGTGCACCTGAACTCAGGTGCACTCCCTGAAGATAGGTTCATATCTTGAACACAGGAATACATTTTCAACACTGGGCCTTATGATCTTATGGCCTTACGACATGGCAAAAATTCTTTTACCATGTCCTGGCCTAGTCGACTAAGGCAGGGAATCATCCCGGGCCTAAGTTCGAACCCTGATCACTGCCCTTATGGATTTGTTCATTTGATGCATCACGCTATTGTGATTTCTGTGTGTAATGAAGTAAGGGCGAAGAGGTAGAACAGCTTGTTGGCAGTGCATGAAGGAATTGTGCAAAACCCTGGTTTTTGTCTCGGAGAGGCTGCAGGATCCGTGTGAAGTCAATGGAATTCCCGGTTGCAATTATTTTACCATGTGGCCTAATCGACTAAGGAAAGCAGCGTCTAGGATCATCCCGGGCATAAGTTCGAACCCTCATTACGGCCCTTGTGGATTTGCTCATTTGAAGCATCACGCTATTGTGATTTCTGTGTGTACTGGGCCTTACTCTGAACACCGGGTAATATTTAGTATACAGGTGCATATCTTGAACACGTTTGTGTATACTGAACACAGATTCAAATACTGAATGCAAGTGTTTAGGTTGAACACCAGTGCATATTTCAATTCCCGAAGGGGAAGACAAAGAGCCTGAATTTAAGTTTATTGTGTTGCATTTAGATGAACTGATGACCGTACAAGGAATGGAACCTGCAATAGATGCATAATTCTCAGTTACTTATAAATTGCTTAATGAACAGAGGAATGAGGTGAAATGTTACGTGCCCACCCGTATATGTCCTGCCCTGGGATGCAACTATGAATCCTCGAATGTAAACACAAACCCGTATATTGAATACAAACTCATATCATGAACACAAAAGCCCATCTTTAACACAAGTACATATCTCGATCACATGTGCATATCTTGACCACCAATACATATCTTGAAAACGTGTGTATATCTTTTACACGGGTGCAAATGATGAACACAGGGGCACACCTTGAACTCATACCTTCAACACAGCTTCATATCTTGAAAACTGGTATGACTCCTGAAAACTCAAGTTTGTCTTAAACACCGTTTCAGATCCGTGATACAGTCGCAAATCTTGAACACATGAGCATAAGTTGAGCACTGGAGCACATCTTGAAAACACGTGCATATACTGATCACATTAGCATATATTAAACATATATCAATATCCTAAATACTTGAGTATATTTTCATAATACATAAATACCTTGAGCATAGGAACATATCTTATATATGACACATATCGTATGTGTATTCCTCTAGCGGAAATGCGTATTTTAAATGCAGATGCACATCTTGAAAACATCTGCATATCATGAAAACACGGGCGTTTCTTAATTATATGGGCCATGCTAATTGCAGGTGTTGACCATGCTTGAACACAAATGCATTTATTGAGTACAGTGGCACGTATTGAACATGGGAGCTATCATGAGTACATGTGCAGGTTTATAATACAGAGGCAAAACTTGAAAATAAGCAGCACTGTTACGACCTCACTTAGCCAATAACCAGGTTCTTTCCATCCAAATTTCCTATGGGGCTTTAGTGCCTCTTCTTGATTGTTGATTGTTGCCGCCGGAGGCGGCTAGTTTATTGTGCACCCCATACTCATCCTGTGAGCGGTAGCGCAAAAAACATTACAAAGGGCACAAAGGTCTTTATCAGACCTCATCTTAGATTATTACATAAACAATTTCATCTATCATTCACACCTTATAGTTACAATGTCAGCTAGTTGCAGAGAAAGTGCCGTTTCAAGAGCAGTATATTTACAGTAAGTCATTATACATTAATGGTAGGTCTTATCGGTAATACATAATAGTTTGACCAATGGAGATATTGCAGAGTCATAGGGGAGCTTCTGTTTATTATTAGTCTTCACAATACACTACTTGTTTCTTAATCTCATATGTCGTTTATCTACTGGAAGCGAAATATGGGTACAGTGCAAGGATTTCAGGTAATTTATCCATGGTAATAAGATAGGTTGCCATATCACACAGAGTGAGCTTAGATTTATCTAAATGGCTCAATTTTACTACAATCCAAGATATAGTGTTCGAGTGTGTGTTCCTGTCCTCGTTCACACACTTTACACTTTACTTCATCTAGATCCCTAATACAAGCCGAACTACCAGAAATACTTGTAGCCAAGTCTTATACGAGCTGTGACAACATCTGTTAGTCTACGTACTTTGTTACTTGCCCCATAAACATGTTTTACTTCACACATTTCATTGTGATGAACAATGGACCTGCTAGTTCCAGTTTGCACTGTTCTACTTTCTTCAAATTCGCCCAAGAGTTCTCGTCTAATTACGAGATCCATCCCCGCGTCATATGTAAATTATTAAAACGGGCAGTAAAACTGAATCCAACGAAAATGGGGGTAAACAACACTAAACAAAACCATTACAACGTGTATTTCATAACTATATACACTTATTACATATGTCCAACACATATCACAGCAGGTGTCACTTTCACACAGGAAATTACATAAGAACTTCTGCAACCTTCTATTCTGGCGAGTCCACTTCTATCATACCTGAGATCTCTGTTGCTCCTCAGGCACGTGAGTCAACTTGGCAGGTAAATTCAGCAGAATCTCTGAATTCGATGCTACTTGCTTACCAACGTTCTCCATCACCTCTTGGTTTTGGTCTCTTGAGACTATCATCGTCACTGAGCGAATGACCCGTCCTTAGAACAGCTTCATCATGTTCACATGTACTAACATCTGCTTCTGTTTCCTGTCTTCAGTGCTAAGGATATAGTTAGTAGCATTAACTTTCTTGAGAACAGGGTAAGGACCAATAAATTTGGAATTCATGGTTCCTGTTAACGTTGGAGAATATACCAGCACTATCTGTACTTCCCTGGGTGTCGCTTTTCTGTCGTATCTCTTCTTGGCAGTTCCCTGAGAATGTAACACATTCACTTTGGCTAGGCCCCCATGCTGCAAACAACCTGCCCTTGTTCGTAGATAACCAGTCCAGTGCATCTTTGTTGCTCTCTTTGTCTACCCACTGGTACTTAACGTCCAATGGTCCTCGCACCGTGTGACAATACACCATCTGGAATGGAGACAGGCCCCGAGACTCATTAAGTATGGATCGTATGGTAAAGAAGATGTATATAAAGAAGACACAGACGAAACATCTGTCTAGGCGATGAAAAACTTTCGCAATCCTGCAATGTCCAGAAAATAATCATCATGAGCTGTCTCCAACAACTTGGTCATGAACAGTGAGGGCACGACTACCTGCTTACCTACCTGTGGAGTCTGGGGTGCACTTTGTCGATACCTCCGGCACAGTACCTTAACCTGCCAGAAGTTGTTGTTGTTGTTGTTGGTGAGTTAGGGGCGATGACGATCGTGGGATCGGATGCGCCCCGGTGTACCCGTGAAGGGTGAATCGCGAAGCCAGGAAAGGCGAAACGCCAAGCCAAAAACGCGAAACGAGTGACACCAAGCACTAGAAACTAATATGCCACACGGCAAAGAAATGCACAAAGGGAGAGGCAGAAGCACATAATATAACAGGGCAAACAAACAGCCAGAGGGGCACACAACATGTCATAGAACAAATACAGAAGAAAATCAGAGCAGGTTCCGCCCGGGAACCTGGCCCGTGGGAACCGTACATTGAACGCCTCCCAGAACACCCATTGTAAAGGGTCCCGTCCAGCCACCGGGGACGCCAAAACATCCGGAACCAGGACAACAAACACCTGCAAACAGGGGACCCAGATGGTAGTACTCATGAAGCGAGAAGTCGCTACTCGCCCCCACAGGAAGGGAACTTGCCCACCATGAAAGTACTCTGGTCCGTCAGACAGCAGTAACTCGGCAATCTCTGACCAGTGACCCGGCGGCATCACAGACGCCGGCAACACGTTTCCCCAGGGTCCCAACGAGCACCCGCACCACAGGGGGTACCCGCAGCCCCAGGCACACCATCAGACGACAGCAGG